GGCTTGAATTTTTTCTTCAGTTCCCCCAGCTTGAGAAATGTTGAGCGTGTTCTTCCTTTTTGGTTTTCTGATTCCAGATCTTTGCACATTTTGTTATAATATTTGGCTTTGTCTTCTCCAGCTGATCTTTGATATGGATGTTGTTTATAGGTCCAGTGGTGAGCATTTTGAGGTGATTCTCATATCTGACTGAGATGAACTCTCCTTCCCAGCCCAGAAGGGCTTGTGTCCATTGGAACGTGAACAATGATGCCAGGCGCTCCATCTGGTCCTTCCTGTTTCTGTAGAATGGGGCTGGCCAGGTGTGGAGGAGCACAGAGGAGGAGGGCTCTGATGCAGAGCGAGCTGAGAGATGAGAACATCATCCATTGTTAACTAAGACTTGGGTTTGATCATGAGTACCTGAGACTCAAATTGCCCACAGCTTCATCAAGATAGGACTTGATTTCTGTCTCAGATAACACTCAAGAGCCAGCTGGCCCAGGCTGGCATGCTGGCTCAGATCCATGAGGCCATGCCAGGATCCATGTTGGCTTGTTGCTCCACCATCTCCTTAATCATTGGGCTGACGCTGGAACCTGCAAGGTCAAAGGTGGCTCATTATCATGCCCACATTTGGGGCAGCAGGCTGGAAGAAGGGGCAACCTGCTCCTTCCCTTTAAGGCCCGTGCTGGAAACAGCACACCTCACTTCTGCCCATGTCTCGTTGGCCAGAATTTGCTCACACAGATGCTGTTGTTCGTTCCTGTTGAGTTGACCTTGACTCGTGGCTTCCCTGTGTTTGCATGTAGGACTGCTCCACACGGCTTTCATTACTGTGGCCTTTGGAAAGCAGATTCCCAGGCTTGTGTCTTTCAGGGTGCTGCTGGGTAGGTTTGAACTACTAACCTTTCAGTGAGTAGTTGAGCGCCTGACTGCTTGCATCACCAGAGACCTCATATGGATGTCCTCAGAAATGTAATCTTCATTTAGGGAGGCCTTAAAAAGGAAAGGGTGGGTATTGAGGGGCTAAGCCAGCATTCCTTACAAACGTCTTCTGTAAAATTCGTTCCTTAGGATGCACCTGAAAAAACAGATTCATTGGCCAAGCCAGCATTCCTAAAAAATGTCTTCTATAAAGTTAGTTCCTTATGATGCACCTGAAAAAACAAGCTCATTGGCCAAATAACACTGGGAAACTGTAAGCACTGTGTGGCTTTAGAGATCCACATGGCTCTGTGACATATGAAAGACCCTGAAAGGCCAGGAGCCTTTCAAGAAGGCTGAACCGAAGGCTGAACTCTGGAGAAGGGGCCTCCTTTAGAGAAGAAGAGAAAGAGTTAGGGAAGGACACAGAGCTCTACCATCCAGAGAAGCAGGGTAAATAGATAGATCGGCACCAGGGGAATGAAGGGAAAAGAGCATATGTGTGCGTGTGGTGAAAAGATACACACAAAACATCCATCCATTCAACAACTCCGAAATGTGCATGTCAGTGAGATGGGGTGCATTCTCCGCGCTGTATAATCTTTCCCACTCTCCCTTTCCAAGGGATTCCATCACTGTTAGCATAAACTCAATTCTCCCTGAACAGAAACTGCTGATAAGCACTAGTCATCTCGGCTTCTAAATATAGTAAAACCTGCAAAAGCTGAAGCCTGTGTAAAATGGAAGCCTGTCAGAGAACAAAACAAATGTTTTCCACTAACAGAGAGCCCCAGGAAACAAAGAAGACTGCACCCCGCCAAAGGAGCCAGAAAAGCAAGGTGGTCTCATCCGGCTTCAGCTATCACAGATGCCACTTTGTTTGCTTTTTTCTACATTAGTGAGATTTTGCCTTTTTGAGACAGACTGCCTTCAATTCAGTCAGTGTGATGTTCTCCAGGTTCCTCCCCATGGTGGTGCTCATCTCTCTCTGTGGCTATGTAATACTCTATTGTGTGGATAGAGCACATTTTGTTGATCCATGTTGTTGTTATTAGATACTCTTGGGTGAGTTCCAACTCCTAGTGTTACAATAGAACAAACACCCAGGCTTGCCCCATCCCTGTTTCAGCCCGCTGTTGCAGCCATTCTGTCATTGCATCTTTTTTTTGGGGGGGGTTCCTCTTTGTTTTGACCTTTTGCTTTATCAAGCATGATCTCCTTGTCTAAGGGTTGGTCCCTTGCTGGACTGCAAAGTCAATTTTAACCACAAGGTCGGCAGTTCAAGCTCACCAGCATTCCTCAGAAACCTTGTACGGGGTCACTGTGGGTTGGAACTGACTCAACAGCACTTAACAACATGTTCAAAGTACATGAATCTTCACCTGTAAGGAACTGGCTAAACTTCTTCCAACACCGATGTGTTTGTTCTAGAAGCCCATTGTTGTTGTTGTTGTTAAGTGCCATCGAGTCGGATGGTATGTTCAATATCCTTCACCATTACCGGAATCAAAGGGATCAATTCTTCTCTGGTCTTCCTTATTCATTGTCCAGCTTGCACACACATATGATGCAATTGAAAAGACCATGGCTTGGGTCAGGGCACCTTAGTCCATCCACAAAGTGACATTTTTGTTTATCCATTACAGGATATATTTCTGAGGAATTATCAAATGACACAGAGACTGAGGGATTTTTTTTTTTTGATTTGTTAAAGCCTTAGTAGCTACAAAAAGGTGAGATTGAAGCAAGATATAAAGGGGTTTAGGAGAGAGTCAAAGGTGAGGAGATGGGGTACAAGGTATAGATCGTGTGAGAGGCAGGAGATTTGGAAATGACCAAGCAGAATGGCAGAATCAAAGAGAGCATCTTCACCACAAGGGTGAGCAGTGTCCATCTCAGGAAGAGTCACAGGTCCCTTACTGGCCATCTGACTCATCCAGAAGCCCGGCCAGTGTGAAGGATGGGATGAGGCACGGATCACTGGCTGGTTCTGTCAGCTTGAGCCAGCCGGCCATTAACTAAGAACCATGGGTGCTCAACTCCAGAATAGACCCTTTTCTTGGAGTGACTTTTCTTTCTCTTACCTTATCTTCCTTTTCCACAGGAAACATGGTGGAATGGTGCTTACCACAAGATATCGACCTTGAAGGAGTTGAATTCAAGTCTATGGCTAGTGGGTCTCACAAGATCCAGTCTGATTTCATGTGAGTACATCGGACCTCATGACATGTAAGCCCTGAGAACACGTGTGTCATTGTGTGTTGGCGTCAGCTTTTCCAGCAAGAAGAGCCTTTGCATTGGTCAGGTGCTCAGTGGGTTTCATGACCTAAAAAGTGAAGCCTTCTTACTGCAGATACGTTCTCTCTCCTTCTGAGAAAGGAAGTAGCCTTTGCTAGCAGCTCAATTTAATGAAAGGATGACATTTTAGCACAGTCCTGTACTGAGGAAAACAAAAGAAAGGCATTCAGATTTCTGTGAGATGCAAATGGAAGGAACTTAAGGGTCACAAGGTGGCTTGAGTCTCATCGCTTGGCTGAATTCTTGACTGACACGGAGAAAGGGAAGGAATGAAACAGCCACTCTGAACACTTAGCCTATTGAAATCAGCAGACGTGGGACGTGGGAGGGGAAATCCCTATTGCTTATGCTAACAGAAGAATCTAGTTGTGAACGGATCTCAAGACTAGTCTTTGCTCTGATTCTCACGCTGAGTCTTCTGGTATAGGAGAGAAAAAGGGATAGTCCATGGGCTGAGCACTTGAGTGACAGATCTACCAGAGACCAAGTCTTGGTCCCAGAGGGACAACCTTGGTGAGTCTGTGACCTCAGGCCTTGGTTGTCTCATTGGTGAGGTTGAGTGGCTCGGTGGCATCATGAAGGGGGTACCTCATGTGCAGACGACACTGGGTGATGGCGTCCGCAGGGGTGACACCAAAATGATTGTCTGTAAAATTTGTGGCAGCATCAGCTGAGATTTAATATTATTTTACAAAAATATCTCTGCAAATAGTTAATAACAACAAAAACATCTTCTATGCCCACCTTACTTGTATCAACATACCAACAAGGCTAAAAACTCTATGCCAATGTACTTTTCTAAAAAACTTTTTATTGTGGATTGAGTGATGGTTTACAGGGCAGATCATCAGTTTTAAATCCAATACACCATACACTTTGCTTTATTACGTGGTTGCAAACCCCTCCATGCACCAACAGTTAACAGCATTGGCCTCTATCCACTTTAACTCTTGTACTTCCTCTATGTCTCCTGCTACCTTTGACTTTCCTCTGCTAACCTCCTTCGTGTGTGTTGCCTGCCCCATCACCACATTAACATGTGTCTACTCTCTAGCCCATGAATAATTCCGACCTTGTAGCCATCATAAATTTTTTTTTAACCAAGAAAAACGTCTCTTTTCTCTTTACAATAGTGATCTCATACAATGTTTTTTCTTTTGTGATTGAGTAATTTCACTCAGTTTTTCACTGTTCTCCAGGTTCACCCATGTGTGAGGTGCTAATTTACTTTTGGAATCTTCTAATGGACTCCTGGTATGATGCTATAGGATAAAGCACGGGACTGCAAACCACAAGGTTGCTGGTTCAAACCCACTAGGTGCTCCTGGAGACCAAATACATTTTTTTGTTTTTAAAGTTTTTATTGTGAATCAAGTGATAGTTTACATGGGAGAAAATCAGCTTTACACTCATCCTATCGTATTTCATTTCATTGCATGATTATAATCCCTTCTATGCATCATCATTCAACAGCATTTGCTTCCAATCCCTCTAGTTTTTTTTTGGATGTACACCTAACCACTCAGGAATATATAACCATTCAAACAACCAAAGGGAACACCCCACAAGTCTGCCCCCCGTCCGTCAGCACACAACCCCTCTCCCTCTCTGAGTCCAGAGTCCCCAGTCGCTCCATCTCTCCTCATCATCGTCTCTGCCTCCATCTCTGGTGTCACTGCTTCTTTGGATAGGATCCCACACTCCGCTCTTCTCTCTTGATGGTCCCAGGGTCCTCCACTCCTGGACTGCAAGATCAACCACTCCCCTCCTTTTGTTACAAAATGTCTACCTTTAACATTTGTGACTTTCACTATCAGTCCTGATAACAATTATTCACTATTGAACCACAAGAGTCTTATCCCCATCTCCTTTCACCAGCCCCATCCAAACAGGTTGGAGACCAGTCAGTGGAGATTCTACCTTCCCCTGCACCCTCTGGAACTAAGCTCCTTCTTGTAAGCCAGAAAACTTGTAAGCCAGTCACTTAGTGCCTTTATAGCCCCCTCATTTTGTGTAGCCAATGTCTAAGTTGCCCATCCCTGTCAACCCTGTGTACAGAGGGGGTGGGAATGATCCTTGCTGTAAAGATTTGTTCCCTCTTTTAAGCTACTACATCCATAAGTATAGGTCAACTTCATCAAATTGTAGCAGATTACTCGTTTTTCCCTCTTCTTTCTTCCTCTAGTCAAGTTCTGATCATCTAGCCATTGAAGCTAGGTCAAATGGGTACTATCTGCAAGTGTGGGTGTTCTTGTGCATCTCCCCTCACTTCATATCAACTGGACACTTCACTCTCCTCTCTAGTCCTCTGACTATGTCCCTATCCATGGGCTCAGGAGTCCCCAGGTCATGCTATACTGCTGGCCAATCAGGTCTCAACCCAGGTTGACAGGCCAGTATATTTTGTTGTTAATTGTCATGTGATCTAAGAAATGTTACATTTGACCAATTTACAGTTGTATTTATCACATATTGTTTTAAAATTGGAGTCTTATGTGGCGCTGTAAGATAAGCACTGAACTGCCAACTGCAAGGTTGGCAACGACCATGCTCTCGTCCGAGCCGTCACGATTACCCAGTTACAGTGATGCATGCGTTGTTGGGTTGGTTCTTATATTCTCTGACTTTGTCACATTTTCTAGCAATTTACTTGCAATATTGTGCTAAGTAGCATTTGTGAACCTCCAACAATAAGTTTTCTGGGAATGAAGCAGCAATTCAAGGCAAAGAAGGAGAGAATTCAAAAAGGTTTCCGCTGGGTCACTAAGGATGTTGTAATTGATGATGTAACTCAGCGTAGAAAGGTTTTACAAAACAATTCTGTCATTAGTTGTCTTGTGGTCTAAGAAATGTTACATTTGACCAATTTACAACTGTATTTATCGCATATTGTTTTATTATTGGAGTCCTGGTGTGGTACTGTAGGATAAACACTGGACTGCTAACTGCAAGGTCCGCTGTTCAAACCCACCAGCCTCTCCTTGGAAACACTATGCAGGGTCGCTGTGAGTTGGAACCGACTCGATGGCGCTTATCAACAACAACAACATTTTATAATTAAAATGGTGATAAACATGACTTAGGATTCTGTATAGACCTTCTTCACAAGAGGAGGTCCATGGTGGTCCGTGAGTTACTGCATTTGGTGAACCCAACCCTAGTGAAACTGCTGGAGTGTCTTCAACTAAATGTTCCTAAAAAAGTATGTTTAAAGACAGCTTTGTCATTTGGAATACTGAACAGAGTTAATTACTTGGTGTAGGACTAGTGAGGTACACACATCTTAGAATAATCAACCACGTGAGATCAAAAGGCAGTATTTACCCAAGGACAAAGTTCAGAAGGTTAGGAAAGGAGGAGGAACGGAAACAGGAAACCCAGGGAGGAAGTGGGTGTGTGGTGTTGTATAGTGGAGATTTCAGTCAGCAACATGGAACTCAATGTGCATGAATTGTTGAACCGGAAACTGATCTCTGTGAACCTCCACCCAATTCACAATGAAAAGTTAAATGCATCAATATGTGAAAACAGTGCTTTCTGATTTTGACTCCCACTGTGCATTTTTGGTCCCTTTCAGCTATTTCCGCAAGGGCCCCTTCTTCGGCCTGGCCTGCTTCGCCAACATGCCAGTGGAAAGCAAGCTGGAGCGGGGGGCCCGCATGAAGTCAGTGGGCATCCTGTCCCCATCCTACACCCTGCTGTACCGCTACATGCATTTCCTGGAGAACCAAGTTCGGTATGTGGCTGGAATCGACTCAGTGGCTTTGCTCACAATCTGTGTAATGACGTCACTGTTGTTGGGCTTTTAGGTTGTTTTTTTCCACCTCTGTCAACACTGCTGTCAACATCAGCATCTTCATGCACCAGTGGTCACCGTTGTCCTTATGAAGGTCTCTGGGCTACATTCCTAGAAATGGAACCACTGGGCCAGAGGGTATCCACAAATTACTGTTGGATACTCATTTTGCAAGTTACCTTTCAGAAAGGGGGTGACATTTTGTGCCAGCCCCTCAGTGAGTGGAGCCCCCACCCGCCTTACTCTTCTCTCCCCAGAAGCAGGTGTGATTTTGACAGTGTTGCTTGGGTGACCACTGGTGAATTACCATTTTGAGCCGTGAGCTTTTCGTCCATCTTTAGTTCTCATTCTTTTTACCACTTGGCGTCTTGGTCCCCTCCCATTCCCTCTTAGTTTCTACCATCCCTATGGATTGGGAGTGGCATCTCCATGAGTAACTCCTTCTTCCCCCTGAGATAAGGATGTGCCGTGAATTCATCACCCCAATACCTAAGGGAGCTGGAAGACTTCATTTTTATGACTCACCGTTAAATTGCTTTTCATTTCCATGTCTGGTCTGATCCTTCCCTACTGAGGAAGGAGAGGAGGAGGTGTTTTCCCACCCAGCAGGCAAGGAAACCAAGCTAAGAACTGACTGTAGAACATTGTCCTTTCATCTGCACCCCACCACCTTCTGGCCAGGTGACCAAGGTCACCAAACAGTGCAGGCAGGGAAGTTGTTAGAACCCAGATGTGCACCCAGAGATGCAGACACTGGTCCTCTGTGTCACCGTCACACTCCTGGGCTGTCATACCCTTAGCAACAGGTCCCCAGAAAGTGAAAGAATCTCAGGGTAGCCAGAAACACAGAAAGGAAGAAGCAAATGAGAGGTCTTGTCCCCAGGGCTTTGCTGGAAGCCAGGAAAGATCTGCAAGAGGGATGCGAGTGTGTGCCTTTCTGGACTTGTTGTTGTTAAGTGCCGTTGAGTCTGTTCCGATCCATACGACCTTGTATAGTGTTTCCAAGGAGCGGCTGGTGGGTTTTTGAACCATCCACCTTTAGGTTAGCACTTCAATGCTTATCCTACAGCACCACACAAGGATTTTTTCTGTTTCCCTGCATTTGCAAAGCTGGAAGACAGATGGGTTCCAACCAGCAATAAATGCACTGGATCAATAATTGCTTCACGTTAGTTATGGGTAGGACAGCCAGCAGGAGTCTTGGTGGGTATCCACACGGTCATTATGTAGCTTTTCCACAGTTGTTGTAACAGGATACTACAAAGTTGATAAAGAATAGAAATGGATTCTTTCACACTGGAGGCTAGAAGTCTAAATTCAGAGCGTCAGTAGGACCGTGCTCTCTCGGAGGGCTCCAGGGGAAGAGACTTTCTTGTCTCTCTGAGCTCTGGTGGCCGCAGGAATTTCTTGACTTATAGCTGTGGTGCTGTGGGTTAATGCGCTGGACTGCAAAGTCGGTTTGAACTGCAAAGTCGACGGTTCAAGCTCACCAGCCGCTCCTTGGAAATCCTATACAGGGTCACTTTGGGTTGGAATCGACTCGATGGTACCCAACAACAACAACAAGCTGCGTCTTGATACGCCTCCTGTCCTCTGTCTGTCTCTTTGCTTCTTTCCTAAGGACACCACTGATCTCCTCCAGTATGGCCCTGTGCTAATTATTATCATCCTCAAGGACCCTGTCCTTGAGCCTGGGTGAAATGAGAAGCAAAGGGCTTTTACTGAGAGGCAAGGGAATTTGTAGATCACAGGTCCCAGAGGATCCGGAACCTAGTAATCGGAGATGTTTCGGAGTATTTTTATAAGAAAATAAAAGGAACTTCAATAAAAATTCAGTGACTGGTTGGCATTTAGGTTGTTAGGTTGTTGTTAGGCGCTGTCGAGTCAGTTCTGACTCATACAATGCACAGCAGAACAAAACCCGGCCTCGCCCTGCACCATTCTCACAATTGTTCAATTTCAATCCATTGTTGCTGACACTCTATCAATCCATGTCATGAGGGGGAGGAGGGGTCTTCTTCTTTTTTCACTGACCCTCTACTTTACCAAGCATGATGTCCTTCTCCAGGGACTGGTCCTTCCTGACAACATGTACAAGAGTTGTGTTTGCCATCCTGACTTCTAAGGAGTATTCTGGCTGTACTTCTTCTGAGACCTATTTGTTCATTCTTCTGGCTGTCCATGGTACTTAAATTATTCTTTGCCAACACCATAATTCAGATGCATTGGTTCTTCCTTGGTCTTCCTTATTCATTGTAGAACTTTCACATGCCTATGAAATGACTGAGAATACCATGATGCATGTCAGGCGCACCTTAGTCCTCGAAGTGACATCTTTGCTCTTGATATTTTATAATATTTTAAATCAATAAGGAGGTCTTTTGCAACAGATTTGCCCAATGCAATACATCATACAACATCTAGAGTGCTGTTTCCATGAGAATTGATTGTGGATTTAAGTAAAATGAAATCTTTGAGAACTTCAATCTTTTCTCAATTCTCATGCATATGAAGGAATTAAAAAGACCATGGTTTGGGTTAGGTACACCTTAGTTTTCAAAGTGACATCTCTGCTTTTAGACACTTTAAAGTTTTGTCCCGTGCAATCTGTCATGTGATTTCTTGCTTGTTTGTTCAGGAGCATTGACTGTTCATCCGTGTAGAAAGAGGTCCACCACCCATTTGTCAGTGTCTTATACTGGGGTGGCTGGCATGCTGTCCATGGTGCTGGAAACTGGGGCACAGAAATTCCATGGGTGGACAGCAGGGTCTCCCGTGGTGGACAGGTTTTAGCAGAGCTTCCAGACAGAGACACACCAGGAAGAATAAGAGCATTGCTGTCTAGTGCCATTGAGTTGGTTCCAACTCACAGTGACCTTGTATACGGTTTCTGAGGAGCAGCTGGTCGGTTGAATTGCCAATCCTGATGTGCAAAATAACCTTGAGATCAAGTGCTCATCCAACAGCACAACAAGAGCATCTGGTGTTGTTGTTGAGTGCCGTGAAGTCGGTCCCAACCCACAGCTACCCTGTATAGGGTTTCCGAGGAGCGCCTGGTGGGCTTGAACCGCTGATATTATGGTTCAAATGTTGCAGTCCGGTGCTTTATTTCACAGCGCCACACTAAGACTCCAACAAGAGCATTGCTTAGTTGGTTGGTGGTGTGCTTTGGAGTCGGTTCTGACTCATAGCGACCATATACAGGCTGGAAATCTTTAGAGGAGCAGAAAACCTTATCTTTCTCCCACAGAAAGGCTGCGAATTTCTAACTGGTGACTGATCTTTACGTTAGCATCCTGACTCATAATCACTACCTTACCACAACTCCTTAACAAGAGTATGTTGTTGTTGTGAAGTGCTGTTGAGTCGATTCCAACCCATAGCGACCCTGTATAGGGTTTCCGAGGAGCAGCTGGTGAACTTGAACCACCAACCTTGCAGTTCAAACGACTTTGCAGTCTGACACATTAGCTCACAGTACCACACCAGGATGAGAGCTGTCCCTCAGAGAAGAACAGAATTTAGGGATAATTTTTTGAATAGAGTTGATGTTGGTGTTTTGCCTTTTTAAAATACAAATTTCCTGAAGGTCTTATCAAGAGCTTGCCCCTCACCTTCCTATTTATAAATGATTTGGAGTCTTGTCGATCTGGCTGAAACTTCGGGGCAGACTGGAAACAAGGAACCCAGTGTTCCTGAGTGACCAAAGCTTGTGAAAACTCTTTAGGACACACTGTCATCCACGTCATGTGTACCGCAGCAGAATATCCAGGTGGCTCTACTACCTGAGGTAGCCCTGCAGGATAATGCGCTGGACTGCAAAGTCAGTTTGAGCCACAAGGTTGATGGTTCAAACCCACCAGCCGCTCCTTGGAAACCCTATAGAGGGTTGCTATGAGGCAGAACGGACTCAATGGCACTCAACAACAACAACAACAACTACCTGAGAAAAACAAGCCAACACACAGGTTTTGGAGCACTCAGCTCATTGCCCACATTCTCACATGAAAGGAGAGGAGCCCCAGCCTGGGCTTTGGAGGTGGCATCACACTCTGTGCCATGCTGGACGGAGGCTGGATGGTTAGAGGAGTGACCCTGAGGAGTGGCTCCGGCCTCTGAGTAAACCACCCAAGGGGGGCCAGGAGGTGGGCAGCGCTTACTCAGAGAAGCTGTATTTTGAATCCTTTTCTGGCTCCAAGAGCATTAAAACGGGCTACAAGGGTTTTAGTGCCTTTTACTTTGACTCTCTGGATGGCGCTGTGGGCTAATGCGTCAGACTGCAAAGTCATTTGAACTGCAAGGTCAGTAGTTCAAGCTCACCAGCTGCTCCTTGGAAACCCTATACAGGGTCGCTATGGGTTGGAATTGACTCTATGGCACTTAACAACAACAACTCCCCCACTAAACAGTGCCAAAGAGTCATGGTGTGGTTCTATAGGATAGGCACTGGACTGCTAACTGTTTAAGGTCAGTGGTTCAAATCCACCAGCTGCCCCTTGGAAATCCTATACAGGATCTCTATGAGTCAGAACTGACCCAACAGCCCTTAACAATAACAAACCATATCCTATGATACCCACAGTGTTCCTGTGCTCGGCTTGAAGGTGGGCTCTCCAGGGTCCAGGTGGCTCAGGGTCTCTGGTTAGCATTCTTGTCCTTTGGGGACAAGCCACAGTGCTACCCCAACCAAATCCCTGCCAGTCCAACAGAATGAGGCGAGGCAGGAGAGAAGGGGTCAGGATGCTTTTTTTGGCATTACTTTATTGTGATAAAAAATATGTAGAGAAGAATAGGTGCATTGAATTGTGGTGTTGGCAAAGAATGCTGAAACTACCATCGTCTGCCAGAAGAACGAACGAATTTGTTCTGAAAGAAGTACAGCCAGAGTGCTCCTTAGAAGCCAGGATGGAGAAGCTTCAGCTCAGGTACTGTGGGCATGTTGTCAGGATGGACTTGTCCCTGGAGAAAGACATCGTGCTGGGGAAAATGGAGGGTGAGTGAAAGGAGGAAGGCCCCCAACTGACACGGCGCTGCAGCAATGAGCTCACAACTGTGAGGGAGGTACAGGCTCAGCAGCGTAGCACCCATGGAGTCACTAGGGGTCTAAGGTGCCTAACAGTAGCAACAGCAGTAATGGTCATGTGCTGGGGGTCGGTGCAGACTCATCGTGACCCTGTCAACCTTTACGGGAGCAGAAAGCCCTTCTGATCTTTCTCCCACGGAATGACTGGTAGTTTCAAACCGCTGACCGTGAGGTTAGCAGCCCGATTCATAACCACTACGCTACCAGAGCTCCTTACAACAATAATATGTGTATATGACGTGTGTGTATTTGTTGTTGTGAAGTTCCATTGAGTCAGTTCTGATCCATAGCAACCCTGTACAGGGTTTCCGAGGCTGTAAATCTTTACGGGAG